ATTCCAAATTCGATAAATTTAAATGTCGTGAAATGATAATTAAGAGTTAAAGTAATTAAAAACACGAGTTAAAAATATAAATGTTATTTGGAAAGCATAGAGGCTGTTGATGGGGCTGTGCATTTAAGCATACACAGCCAGCATGTGCAAAACAACGTTGCGTACCCAAAAGCAACAGGTCGCCTGTCTTCACTGCAATGATACGATATTACGTACATACTTAGCATCCATTGAAAAAACGACTACATTGATAAAAATATATTATTTAGTGGTTAAAATTTACGGTTTGTTTTTAAAGTTTTACATATCATTTACAGGTCAGTCACGTGAAACAGAAAAGGAATCTTGTTAACAGGAGAAACATAAAATGCGTTCTTTGTCAAATCAATAACAATATTCATAAAAATTATTGATAATAATATTACGACAACAATTAAAAAAAAAGAATCGTTCAATTTGATTTAAACCAGTATGCTTTTAAATATTTAAAAGTTTAATTTAAATTGTGTTTTCACAATCTCTTTTCTTTTGTTCCAACTTAAAATGTCTCTATCACCGTGGGATTTGACGGCCAACTTGAATTTCAGTATAGCGCAGTTCTACAGACCGCGCCGACCTAGCTATGTTTTTGCCACACAAACAACTCGTCAACGTAGCGGCAGTTATCAACATGCTACGGGAAGTGTAGAAGAGGAAGAGGATGAATTGGTTACAGCAACGGAATCTGATTTCATTGATAATTTCGTGAGAAGAAAACAAAAACAAAGATCTTTATCCGTCCATCAGCAACAGTCCTTACACCAGTACGATCAAAAACAGATGCATCAGCTGACGAATTCAAAAGAAAAAAAATACTTCGTGTCGCAACCTCAGTTATCGAATCAAGCTTTTAACAAAACTGATCCGCCACTACAAAAGCATCAAAAAGAAGCTAATCGAACAGTTCAAATGAAAAGTAGTGGAACGATCGACAAGATAAATTTAAATAATTCAATTGCTAAAATGCTGCCAAGTAATGAAGATAAAAATGTTTTTGTACAAGAAGCAATAAATTCAACACTTCAACATTCAAAGTCATCTCTAAGCGATTCCAAAATACCATATTCAGGAAGCAAATGTTTCAGTCCACTGTTGCATTACCAGATGCAACAACAGGTACCTCAGCAGCAACAACAGCAACCAGTTCAACAGCATCAGATGCAACAACTGACATTGTACCAAGAACGAGCAGCTACGCCAGATTCGAATTCAAGTTTTACAAACACATCGACTAACATGCCAATGATAGCAACCAGAGCCGTTAGTGGCTTTGGACGATCGTCGTCTCTTGTGAACAGAATAACACATTCGAATACGGGTTCAAGCTCGGTTAAAAGTTATAATCCTGACCAACCAAGCTTAAAAAACCAGAACAGTTTTGAAGAAGCAAAAATTAAAAAAAAATATTCGACTGTGGAAAGACAAAACAGTTTTCATAATGAAAAACAGCCAAACTCCCAACAACATTCTAGACAATCTTTATCCATGGTTGCAAACACTTCGTTGAGTTCAGAAAAACAAAATAGGCGATCAAAATGGCGCTACACCAAAAATTTGGTTGTTCTTTCTATAGGTTTCATACTTGTATTCACAGCTTTCAGGTCAGTTCAAAATTTGCAATCGAGTATAAATTCTGTCGGTCGTTTAGGCGTTTTGGCAATGTCTCTCGTTCATGCCACCACATTCATTTCGTGCCTTTTTGCTCCTGCTTTAGTGAAGAAATGTTCTTCAAAATGGGCTATTGTTTTTGGATTGCTATTCTATTTATTCTGGATAACAGCAAATTTTTTCCCGCATGTTGCTACGCTAGTACCAACATCAATTGGAGTAGGATTTGGACAAAGCCTGGCTTGGGGTGCCCAAGTTTTATATATTGAACGCCTTGCTGTAGATTATTCTTATCTTAGCAAAGAACTCACCCAGCAGGTTAAAATGAAGTTTATGAATAACTTATGATCAAACAAATATAATAACTAATGAAATTTATTTTGGTGTTATAAAAATTTATTTTGACAAATTCATTATTTTATGCTAAAGGAGTTATACAAATTTAACGGAATTTTTTTGGCTTGTTTCCAATCGTCACATATATGGGGGAACCTGGTGTCATCTCTGCTGTTAACGAACGAAGATCTACCTTACGGGAGCAGATCCAATGCTGTAGGACCAGGTGAAGATGATTTGAGTATTAATAACAAGGCATACGCAGCAGACGGATTTGATTCGATGGGCGATGAAATTGATCAGAAACCTTGTGGAGTGTACGATAGAGTCACTCATGACGAAGATAACAATGAATCTATAACATTTCTGCATGAAATGTCCAAACTGCCAGGTAATCAAACATTTTGTTAGTTAATATTTTTCTATGATTTACTTATTATTATAGTTATTTAATAATTATATGCACATGCAGATGATACTTTAAAACGTTTATTCACCAAATGATAAACAATTGTTTAATTTTTTAATAGATTGTAAATTAACCCTGTTTATAACATTATATTTATTATTTTGAATTTCATGCGAACGTTTGATAAAATCACTTGAAAAATTGGATATAAGTCGAAAATGCCCTATAGATGTTTATAAGATGTTAATTATCATAGTAAAATGTTCATTAGTTATATATTAATTTGTAATGACTAGAATGGAACAAAACATTTATATAGTTTAGAGATGCAAGGTTACAATTTTGTTACATGAACCTGACTTAAATTTAAAAACTCGACGTCTTCTCATTTTTTGATTGTGACAAGTGCAGAGCTGCTCACTTACCGTTTCTTACTTAGTTTCAATTAAACTTTTGTGCAACGATTCCTGTAAATTCATCGTTATAGACTAGCAAGCTCAAAAGATTTTATAACACAACTGCAACGGAGTCTAATTGCAGTAAACATTTAATAAAATTTTGACTGGCTTCAAAATATATTTTTTGGTTTGTAACCTTGGAGCATGCTTGAAGGTTATGCTGAACGTGGGAAAAATTTGTCTGTAAATATATGGAAAACTAGTTTATCCTCACGTCTGGATAAAATTAAATTTAATGTAACATTTCCAACAACTGTTAAACTATTATATAGAGCCATTATAATGTTTTCGTGAATTGTCGCGTTATTTTTTTATTATATAAGTAATTTTTTACTATGAATAATTATTATAGTTTAAACTGATTTGAATTTTTTAAGTTTTTTGCATTTTTGAATTTTTTTGTTAATCATTAAAATCGACTGATTCAAAACACAACAGTCAGAATGGCCTCGAGAAATATTTTCAAGCTGATGATAGCTTACTTGGTGTTTGCATCCGTTGGTTTCTCGGTGATATTTCTCTTTCTAGAGAAGCTGGACAATCCTTCGACAGCGGAACAAACTACTCGTCTGGTCTGTTTTTTCATTTGATAGTCATCGTTCGGCAAAATTTGCATAGTCATTTTATTTTACATTTAAAATATTAGTATTAACGACATAAAAATTGACAACAACTAAGATAGATGATGATTATTTTACTTTTTATATTGTTTCATCTTATCTACACGCTTGAATTTTTGCAAGAATTAAATAAGATTAACTGGATGACTTCATTAAAGAATCCTATGAAATACCGAAAAAAACGAAAAGATAGCAATAAATTTGAAGAAAAAATTAAAAAGCATATTGAATTCTATACAAGCATTTAATGTTATGTTAATATTATTAATAATATAAATAAAAATAGTATTAAATATAAATAAAATATTGATAAACATTAAATATTATTATGTTATTTAACACGTTGCCCAGTTAAATACAGAGCGTCGTTCTGTATTAATAAAAAATTTTACAAAATGTTATAAACCTAGTCGTTCATCGACCAAACAAAATAAAGACAACAAATATTTTCATTTTTCAATTTAATTAAATAGTTTAATAAAATTATTGAATTGTATCATTCAAATAAATTATTTAATTAAATTATTAAGTTACACGATAAAAATGTTGTAAATTTGTACTACCATAATATGGTTAAGTATTTTTTCCATTTTTGGACACTACTCTCAAATCATTTTAGCTTACATCAACGTAAGTTTTAGCAAGATTTTGTTGACAACTAACTAAGAACTAAGAATTGGCAACCAAGAAGAAAAGGAACTTTTTGAAAATTAAAAAAAATGTAAAATACTATGACGTCATCAGTATTGTAAACTTTGACGCTGGTTGCCAATGCTGTCTTATGTTATGCAATCAATTCGTCGGCCATTTAAAATAACGTACCTACAAATAGTTTCACGCCCGATAAAAATTCTACCACACGTGCGATCACAACACGTTTAGACACTCACAAAAATTAACCTGACAGGAAAAAAAACGACATTTGATGTTTACAAATTTTGAAACAATTTATCTTGCAACAGGGGGTTGTCCAGGGATTGCGTAGACTCGTCGGTCACAAAACATATCGCTTTTTGATTCCTCTCTTGGTTTTCAATGGATTCGAACAGGGATTTGTCTATTCAGATTATACAAAAGTAAGATTTCATTTATTTATTCATTCATTTATTTATGCATTATAAATGTATATATAAATGTAAATATTACATTATAGTTTTAACTTGAACTTTTTATCCCTCATTAAAAGGGAAACCCTATGAACTTTTTCAAAGTTTAGAGGAATGCCCAACGCACAAACAGCCCATATGAATACGTGTTAAACGACGTATTAGACACAAAGCATGTGGTAGACAGGCAGGGATCCTCTTGGGGTATCCGAACTCGGACACTGCATGCACCATAAAACAGCCCCAGGCGCTTTTTACCGCTAGGCCTTCGCGCCGCACATTTCTGTGTCTGCATAATTTTGTTTTGTTTTTTCAAATATATTCCTATGGGACATTAATATTTTATGTAGATTGACAGGTAGTTAATTTAAATATAGTTTTGAAACTATAAATTAAGATAAATTTTTCTTCATTTATATCCAACTTTTTTGCTTTCTTACGTTACTTTTATTCGGTGTAAGTTTTGCAACAAGCTGCAACTACGACAGAGTTTATATTAATATCATAAAAAATAATATCGTGGAACGGTAGCTAATTGTTTTGAATATCAGAGGGGTGGTTAATGTTTCCAGATTTAGATTTAGTTAAGACAAAATAAAACAAATATAGTGATATATTTATGCATTAATGATGTGCCGACAGTGGCGGGTCTAAGGTGGGGAGGGCGGGGACACTGGCGTTGTGAGCGTTATTTATGTAAAAAATTGGTAAAAGTGGTTGTTTTAAAGAAAAAAAGTAGTGTTTTTGAAGAAAAAATTGACATTACCAAAAAAGTTGCCCCTCCCGTAGAAATGTTGTTCCCCGCTGAACAACTGAACAATTGGAAAATTTGCGGAAGAAGTTGTATAAAAAAATCCCCCCAGTCATCAACTTTTTGTCGAAAATCATTTTCACCCCCTGGTCATAAACATTTTTTTTTAAATTTTCCCCCAGTCTCAAATATTTTTTGAAAAACTTTTGTGAACCCCGGCAAAGTTGTCTAGATCCGCCACTGTGTGCCAACATTTTTCTCAAAAAATACGCGTGAATAGATTGTTGAATGTTTCAAAACATTCCACAATTACAACAGTCCTTCATATGCTGCACAGTTGGCGTCCAGTACATCGGATACAACATGATCACGTTGGGCATGACCAACTCAATATTCAGCATCGGCATTGGAGTGGTGGCTCGACACATCGCTCGAGAAGCCATCGTAGGAATTGGATGTGTGTTGCACCTGGGTCTCTTAGTTTTTTTGTTGGTCTGGATACCGGGGTCAAATTTGGTTCCTGTATTTTTTGTCATTTCCGCATTGTGGGGTTTGTGCGATGCTATTTGGCAAACTCAATGCAATTGTGAGAATATTCTAAATTCATTCATTAACGTTTAATTATGTATGATAGTTTTGATAACTTATAACTAAATGTTGCTTAAGTAAATAATTTCTATCATCAAAACCGTTATTTCAATACAGAAAAAATATTGAAACAATGGTTAACGTTGAAAAAATTAGCGACAATTTTATTTTAAACATTTAAACCGTTGTTGTAATACCATCATCATTTGTACAGGTCTGGTTAATCTAAGCTGTCCAAACGACCACGACATTGCCTTTCAGGTTTTTCGTATGTTACAAAGCATTGGAGCAACAACGGCGTTCTTACTGAGTGGAGTGACGTGCGTGACCAGCAAACTGTACGTTTTAATATGCCTTCTGGTTCTTGCCATTGTATCTTACGTTTTCGTCGAGTATTTTTTACGGAGAAATGAATGTTTACAAACTGGAACTACGATCGTTGCCATTGGCAATCAACAAAAACAACAACAACCTCCACAATTTAATCAAAAACAATGTCACGAAAAAAACATAAACAAAGCCGAATCAGGCGATGCAAACAATCAATCTTGATTTTGAATGCGGTTTAATTTACGAAATGCGAGCCCTTTGAATCAGATTCTGCTGCGTCGTCTGCATTTCCCGTTCATCATGTTGCGTACGTTCAGTAGCACAACGAATGAAGACACATATGATCTGAATGTATAACTTCATAAATACTTATATGTATATAAAACACACGCGAAAATTAGTTTGACATTGAATTTGGTCACAGGTTCTATATGTATGCGCGTGTGTATGTATATATATTCCTTTATATGTGAACCTGTTAAATCTTGAAAATAACACCTTAATTAACATTACAAATAACCTGCAGTAATACCTTGTATGACTTTGAACGCTAACAGGTTCCCACTAAATTTTACATTTAATTTTTGTGAACATTTAACGAACGTTCTTGTAACAACTTATTGCCTTCTCCTAGGGTGATTGATCATTTGTTAGAATCATTCTATTCATTTCATACAGTAACTTAGATGCTTGTAAGATAAGCAGCCTCGATTACGGTTTACTGGTAGTAGTTGAAATTATAAACACGTAGATTAAAAACGCTTGCCATTCATGTAATTGTGCATCACTGAATGTGTTTATTGTAATATATATGTACTACGTCTTAGTAAGTTATTTTTAATAAACTTGCAGTAGAATGTATGTTTAATGTTAAGCAAACGTACATATATCCCTACGTAGAAATTAATATGCATTATTTATAAAGCACACAAAGAAACTAAAACAAACTCACATAGAAATAAAAAACCAGAGTGTGTTCTGACATGCATTGTATAATTTATAAATGTTAAAATTGTTAGATGAATTTTTAAATATTTCTTAACAGTTTCCGGCTGTTGAGAATCAATTTTGTTGAAAATATAGAATCAACATTTCAAAAGCGCAATTAAGTCACCAGAAAATAATGTTATTTTTATCGAACATTTAGACCTACATAATGTTTATTATACATACTTGTATAATATATTTATACATATATGTATATATATATATATGTGTGTATATATATATATACATATAGTCCCAAATAAATGTTTACATCGTTTCCAACAACACTTGGAGTTTATCCTAATTTTATTATTTCAAAAATGTAAAGTAACCAGTGACATTTAATTGTTTTTTCACTGCCTGTTTTCAAGCTGACGTCCATTTTGATCCAGATCCTGCTAACAATGCAAAGTCAAATTAAAATTCATTGCAATACATTGCCCATCAGTTCACATTGCTACACGGTATTCGACAATGTACCCAAACATAAAATGATACTGGTGTGTATTTTTATATAATCAAATAATAATCTATGAAATATGAATATGGCGATATAAAGCTATGGAACCGCACCAATTTTTCAGATTTTTGGTGCGTTCTGTTCAACGGCTTGCCTCAATTCAGCAACTATCGTTCACTTTGTTGTTCAGGTGCTCCCGTAACGTTTACATACATTTCAAAGCATTTTATATAATTGTTTAACGATTAAAACGGCGATACAATTTTCAACGATACATGCCTTACAAACTTTTCAATTTATTGAATAAAATTTTATATAGCTGAACGATTTTCAACAATATACACAAAAAACAATAGAATGAGTTGCAAATGCTTCCACCTTTTTTAAAACCACAAAACTACAATAAACCACAATATGGCGATCCCAATATTATCTAATCTTATTTCGTATTTTCCGAGCTCAGTCGTTCATAGAAAAAGGACGAGTGTCTGTGTCCGGAATAGGTATATAAAATAAAAAATGATAACACTAAAGTCACCATTCTTTTCTTGCAATAAACACCAAGTCCAACAAGTATAAAAAGTTTGTATGTATTACATTTTTTTGGGACATTATATTTATAAGTTAAACATAAATGCCTCTAAAGCCGATTATTATTTATTTATTAATTTATCTATCTACTTTATTGATACAACTATTATTCGTCATATAGTAGGCTAGTCTCAAAAACAAGTTAAAATAAATAATCTTAAAATTTATATAACCTGCTAGAAGGGAGGGAATGATTAAAAAATGTGCGAGTGTTTTATTCATTTATAACATTTTCAGATACGATAGTGCATTTATTTTAATGAAATGTTACATCTCACTAAATTTTTAATCGCTTTTGATCATTTTAGGAAATATGAACATTTTTGCTTTACGTCTATTAATTTAGAAAAAAGAGGCTGTTTTTTAATTTTAATTTGTTGCAACATTTTTTGTTTTTAGACTAGAAAATTAAATTTGAATCAAAAAGAAAACCAGATTCCATATTAAAAATGGATAAACCCACGTTTTGGCAATACGAACAAAAAATTATTATAAATCACATCAAATTCAAGAAATTGTAGACTGAACCAAATATAAGTCAAGTTTTTAAAATGTTATAAATACAAGAATTGTTGAAATAGATGGCGTGGTATAAATGTCCAGTCCAGTTTGACGTAATTCAAGATCCTCGCATTTCTTTTTCGTTACCATTGAAAGTTGGCTGCATCGTGAACACATTTTGTAAAAAACGTTTCGCTTTTCGTATTTCATTCATTATTGTGCTAGTCCAGCCTTTTATTTTATTTATCCATTTTTTCGTTCGTTGTGTTCCCAGCTGCTTCGTTCCTCTCACAATCCTAGAATGATCAGAATGATACCCTTCTATGAGTTGATGATTTTTCAGGATATGCTTAGAATATCTTATCTCTATAATTTGACTTTTGAAAGAAGTTTTTGTTGTACTTGCAACCTAAGTGTATGTCTTCATAATGATCACCAATAACATCAAATAAAAATAATTTGTAGTCATCTTATTAAAGAGTGAAGGAAAACAAATTTATAAAATGCATGAACAAATGAAACAATTAACATACAATTAAAAGACCAAGCATACGCATATTATATATCTTTCATCAGTTCCAGATTCAATCAATCAGTCAATGATACTTTTTGAAAACTTAACGCTATACATATCACAAATAACAATGTATAAAAAAGGTAAATAATTGAATGCAAAAAATGTACAAATAATAAACTTATATATATAAGTTAAATTTGTTTTTTTTAAGTTGCATTTTAAACGCAACAAGAAACACAATAACTATAGCATTATAATTTGTTTTCGCTTTACACACAAAAAGAATAATACATTATTCTAAAACATAAATTGGTAAAAAATATTAAACGGATTACATGAGGATTGATTGCCGAGTTATTTGAAAATAACGACTCAGTCTGGAGTTTTTATTGCGTAACAGTTTTTTCGGCGAATCATATTCGACAATCTAGAAAAAAATATTTAAAAAAATAAAACTTCCTGGAAAACTAAATTTTAACTTGAAGTCAGACATTTGTACACTAGCATATAAGTGATTAGCCAAGCATTCGCTTATTATTCAGTTTAAACGCGATACTACATGGTTTCACTTTTAATACTTTTCAACAAATGTTTGGTTATAATGCGTTGTAAACGAATAAGACAAATTTAAGCAGATTGTTGAAGTAACTACCTTTAACGTTGAATCTTTTTTAGCGTGCAGCGCAGGATTTTCAACTAAAAATACTAAAATAACTAACGTCTTAATATTTTTTCGTTATGTTTTGTAACTGTCAATTGCCGTGTCAAAATTTGCAGACTCTTTTGAGAGAGATAATTTATTTAACTCTTACATCACTGACAGTTGGAAGAATTTAACAAAACTGAAATCACATTAGATATTAGATGTTCTTTGTATTCGTTCAATTGAAATTTTAATATCTTATCAACAGAGACAAACAAGTCCTATAAAAATTTAGCATGGCGAGCAAGTCCTGGATCAATCAGCAGAGACAAGCAAGTCCTACAATTACCAGCAAATTCACGCTTTTGTACATATCTCTAAACTTTTGATTGCTATATTTGAATTCTATGCGTGAAATTACCTGAATACACCCCTATTTATGTAACCAAACTAAGCTTCAAGCGGACAAATGGAATTACACAAATTAGAATGAAAATACTTAAAATGAACAAATAAAGTAAATTCGTTAAAAAATTTAGTTACATGTAACTCAATAAAAACCTGTCCATTGTCGATTACCATTATCCGATCACATTTCATGACAGTTTTAGTTTTGTGAGCGATTGTCAGAACTGTTTTCGAGGAAAAATACAGTTGTGTTACGGTGTCAATTAGATCTTCAGTTTCAGGATCAATAGCTGACGTTGCCTCGTCCATAATTAAAATCTTCAACAAAAAATTATTTCATATTCCTACCAATACTAATAAACAACATAAAATTATGTGTGTGCGTGTGTTTGTGTGTAAAATTTATATTTGGAAGCCAACTCATATTTTAACAATTTGTTTAAACAAATTTAAAAATATTTTATTGACATTGCTTTGTAGAAGTAGGGTTCTTGCTAGGCATATTAACTGTTTTTCACCCAGAGAAAAGTAAGCTCCATGTTCAATGATTTTTGTGTCTAGCTGACCATTCAGATGAGAAATCTGGTGTAAAGATAAAATGTAGGTAGTGTTTAAGCGAGTAAACCATACAAATAAATATTAATCCTATATGTGTTCCTAAGTCATAATGTTTGAACCGCTGTTGTTCTTGATGTACACATCAAATGTATTCAATATTAATGAACAACATTGACTGGTCGGTCAGGATTACGCGCCGAGATCAGTTGATAATGCTTATTTATATATAAATATTTTGGTGAATGTTTTTAATGGGTTCTATTATTTGGTGATTGATTATTAGTATGAATGCGTTTATTTAGAGAATAGTCTATTGGAAGGTGTCGCTAGTGTAACTGCAATCCATTCATCAGGTTTGATTATTGTTGTTGATTTTTTGTTTCTGTGAATTTATTGCTGTTATTTTTGTGGTCGTGAACTTATGTGACAACGCCTTTTAATTGGGGCTTTATAAATGTTCTAATAAAAATAATAATAATAAAAATAATAATAAGCGAGTCATAAATTTAAATAGTCAAAAGTTTTGTAAATTCTAAGCACTGACGTATTTGTATTGCACCGTTAAACCTGTTATAAATGGAGATTTCCTACTCAATGATGAACTATGATATTTTTCCAGGTCTTACATCTTAATTTTTTGTTAAATGAAACTCGAGCGGATAATTTTTAATCTCACAGAAAAGAACAACAAAAGGATTATAATATCTAGCAACTTAGCAGTCGCAGCAAGTTTTAGTAATTTATAAATAGATAGCGTAAACTAGAAAAATTTGAATTTTTAAATATATAACATAAAAATAGCCACGTTAAAAACATAATTTATATATCGTCTAAAGATTAAGTGCGCTGAAATGGTTATAAACAATTTTATAAACCGTTTCCAAACTAATTTTAATTTGTTTAAGTAAGTTTTAAAACAAGTTCCTCAAATAATAATATACCAGTTTGGATTTAAATTAATAAGTGCACGTTGTAATTGTATTGAAGTAGATTTATTGAACACACTTCTTACCATATAGAATATACCAACAAATTTTGATATTTTAGAAACAAAAAAATCCATATTTGCCCGGAATAAATTATTGGAAATAAATAATTTAAAAAACTTTGGACTATATTAAGGGTCAAAGCCCAAACATACATTTTCGAAAATTAATATTTCAAAAATCCATATTTGCCCGGAATAAATTATTGGAAATAAATAATTTAAAAAACTTTGGACTATATTAAGGGTCAAAGCCCAAACATACATTTTCAAAAATTAATCACAAATTTATCGCGTGTGAATGAGCTGCCTATAAAATGGAGCCCAACTTTTGCCTTTTATTACGCAAATGAAATTATTGAAATTCAACTGAATATCTAAAATTTCCCATTTACATCATTTTGAGTGTTTAACTTCAAATGCGTTATAAGATATTAAACAATTAAATTTTAACCTTTTGTTTAATTCGACATTTTTCAAGTGCCGACCAAAGTTCATTATTTGTATACTTTTTAAAAGGATCAAGATTATATCTGAAAAGTAATAGAAAAATGGCTTCAAAAAGCAATAATTTGTTTTAAAAAATTTCAAATGGGGATATGTCAGAAGAAAGAAATTAACTAGCCTAACGCGGGTAAACATTAAAAATTATATTAAAAAAAATAAACTAATTCGGGTTTAAGGGGGATGAAAAGAAAACCACGACAATTAATAAGGCACATGATTAAATATCTAACATGCTCAATAATTTGATTTACCTGAAGGAAAAGAACTTGTGCCTACAATATAAAAACTGTAAGATTTTAATTTTATCAGATAAAACTCTTCACGTAAAAAACTGAAAAAGACCATACATAAGCAACCTTAAAGTTCCACTGAACAGCACGGGTTCTTGGGGTACTATGGCTAATCGACTTCGCAGATCGTATAACCCTATCTCGGAAATATCTATGTCGTCAATCAATATAGATCCTCTTGTTTTTTCAAATATTCGAAAAATGGAAGCCACTATCGAAGACTTCCCTTTAAAAACGTTAAAAAATAAATTCAAAATGCAAAGTAGCATCGATAAGTATGACTAAACCTGATCCTGTTCTACCGATAATGCCAACTTTTTCCTTTGGATTAATAGTAAAATTGACGTTCTTCAAAACATGAGTGGAGTTTTTTTGATAACTCAAATAATAATTGGAAAAGACAATTCTTCCATCACTCGGCCAACCATCTGGAGGTCTGCGAGATGTTATTATGAGAGGCGCCTCTTGGGGAGTATTCTTGCAAAGTTATTTATGTTTAAATAAACGTAGAAACTTTTTTTATTTTAGTTTTTCAATGTTCATAAAGCTTATAATTACTTTTGCCCAACTAAGAAGTCTTTCAACTGATATGAATTTACTTTCAGCCTCAGTAATCAGCCGTACGGTGTGCTGGAAAAATGTGCTCATCTGTTTTTAAAAATAAAATGTTATATATTCTGTTTACTGTTTTATATATAAAAAAGTGATCAACTGCTTATGAATACAAAAAATTGTTTAGAAAACGTAGACTAAAAGTAGAAAACTGTAATGAGTGAGGGAAGATATTTTCAATTATAGTACAAAAACCTTCATGCTCAATCACAATAAATGTTTAGCACGCACATCTGTTTTCTTATTACTGAGGTACGTTTATAGACTTATGTATAATTATAATCTTCTTGCGAGGAAATTAAAACAAACATTAACCAGGGATTATAATTATAAATATACTTGTAAGTGTATCTATTAATATTATTAAGAAAAAAAGACTCGAGCTGACTAGAATAAAGCGTCATGAAAGGCTTAGAACGTGAAAAATTAAACCATAATTATATTGAATAAAAGAAGTATCTCAATTTAACATAAAATATTAACAAGTTCATAAATTTAGAAATATAAATAAAATATCAAATAAATTCAAATGTATAAAACTTGTTAGCAATATAAAAAAAGCGTCTGATTCGATTTTAAATGTTGCAGGATTTGGTGCATCAACAATATTAACATTCACAAAAAATGCTTAATTATAAAGGGATAGATGACTGTAAAAACGTTGAAGAAACCTGCGCCGAGTAAGATATGGCGAGACCTGCCATAGCTGTAGAAACGTTGTTCTTCGACAGAACTATTAAAAGAGCAACCATGCTTGTAGAAAACGTTGCTAAGATATCTAATCTCAGAGTCATCCATCTGATGAAAGACGAGTTCATTAAAACTGCAGATATGTGACTGTTTACCAGTTTTTCAAATCTGAATATTATCAGCATTAAAGTTTAATTCCTGTTTTTGTTTTGTCTTTAATATTATATATTTTATAAAGTAGCTATGGTCCTGTATAATATATATGCTAATACATAGCATACATAACACACATTCACTATGCCATACATTTCATAACGAGCTTCAAGTTAAAATGTTTATATAAATATAAATTTCACATCTGTGTATTTAGGCAGAATGTTTTCTTGAATGCATATTTTATTAAACTCGACAGAATTAACCAGGTTTTTTCTTTTGTTTCTCAAGTTTTCCAATTTTCTTAGTATTTCATTTTCGTAAAAAAAACCGTGACTTAAATTTCCAAAAGTAGTTTTTATGTTTTTATTTTTTCTAAGATTGAAACTTAGGAAAAAGAAAAAACTTATAAAAAAATGACTCTTGAAAGTTTAATTCACGATTTTGATTATGAAAATAAGAAACTAATTAAAAAATAGAAAAACTTGAAAAAGAAAAGAAACAATCAAGTAAATTCGGTCAAGTTCAACAAAGTGTGCTAAATATATATATATATAGTATTGTATGAATTTTACCGATATATATAAATTGGGTAGTTATCAATATATATACAAAACCTTGAAATATCCCTATATAAAGCGCTGATGATGAGCAAAATCGAAATATGGCCTATACGCTTCAACATGAACACCAACGATTTTCTTATTAATTTTAATAAATTGGATAATAATTATAAAATTACTGTTAGAAATATTGAAAAGCTCAATCGTAAACTTTCAAAAGCTAAAAATTCGGTAGATTTTATCTACCGTATATATATATATATATATATATATATATATATATATATAAACACACATATATATTTTTATACTCAATGATATCCTTCTCTCTATGACAATAGTAATCTTACTCTTCTTCTTGCTCTTGACTTTTCCTCAGCTTTTGATACTGTTGACCATACTATTCTCTTGAGACTGCTGCATCTTTCTTTTAATATTACTGATTCTTGTCTATCTTGGTTTTCTTCTTATCTCTGTAATCGTTTTTCTTCTGTTGTTCTCAATAATTCCACTTCTAACTCCTCTACTCTTACTTTCGGGGTACCTCAGGGTTCTATCCTTGGCCCTCTTCTATTTATACTCTATACTTCTGAACTACCTCGTATTATTAATAACTTTTCTTTCTCTAGTCAACTATATGCTGATGATTCTTACATTTATACTTCTTTTCCTCCATCTAATCTCAATAGTGTTCTTCATAATTTATCTCTATGTCTTTCTTCAATTATCGCTTGGTCTGACTCTATGTGTCTTAAACTTAATCCTTCTAAGTTTGAATTAATTTGTTTTAATAAATCTAAACATTCTATTACTATTTCTCCTATCATCTTACCTGATTCTAAAACTCATGATGTCTCTCATAAGTTTCTTTGATTCTACTATGTCTCTCTCTTCTCAGATTAATAGTGTTGCTAGAAGCTCTTACTTTCATCTACGTAGAATAAAAAAACTTTTGCCTTTTCTTGATGATCCTACTCTTCTCCTTCTTGTTACTTCGTTGGTCTTATCTAGGATTGATTATTGTAACTCGCTCTACTATGGTCTTCCTGACTCTATACTCTATCCTTTAAGTAAAGCTTTTAACTCTGCTGCTCGTCTAGTTGCTCGTGCCCCTTTTTCTCATATATCTCCATATCTTGTTCTCTTGCACTGGCTACCTATAAAATATAGAATAATTTTTAAAATTTGCACGTTCATGTATAGGTCTCAATCTAAATTATTTCCTAAGTATTTATCAGATATATTAATTGAACCTAAACGCCCCGGTTTACGATCGTCTTCTTCTTCTCGCTTTTTCTTAACTCGTGTTAAACACTCTTTTGCCAAATCTGCTTTTGCTTTTTCTGGTCCTTTTCTCTGCAACTCTCTACCTACTTCTCTGACTACTTCTCCATCACTTGCAAAGTTCAGAGCGGATCTCAAAACCCATCTGTTTTCAAAATTCATTGAAGAGCGCTGTTGAACATCGCGGAAATAGCGCTTTATAAGCTAATTGATTGATTGATTGATTGATTGATTTTGGATTAAGCCTATTAGATTGATGAAAATCACAGCATGTTTGCGTTAGTTAGCTTCCTATTCATAAATAATTTTTCGATTTTTCTAAGGGTAAATCGTAAATCATCGTCAAGTTTCTTGAGTTCAAAGCCAAAGTTTTCATTTATTTTAAGTATGATAGAACAGAAAAGTTGTTTCGGTATTCCTATATCATCTTCTGTGTTCGAATTGATACATTGTGTATGTAGCCGAATGCTCAAGTCATATATCCTGTGTCTTTACAATGCTAATTCTCGAAACATGCTGTGATTTTCAATTGAATATATATATATATATATATATATATATATATATATATAATCAAATTCAAAATTATATATATTTATATGTGTGTGTGTATGCGCGTGATATTTGTGTATATGCGTGTATATCAACGTTATAGAAAAACTAGATAAACATAATATTTTAAATCTTACAAAATTTACAAACAAAATTTGCGTAATTTAAAAAAAAATTACTTTTCATCAAACATTTTAGTTTTTTTAAATGCTTGAATGGTTTCCAAACCATGTATAGTCGACAAGACGTGCATGTAGAGGGGAGATTTCGTCGAACTTTCCAACCGTTTCAACTGTCGCGTCACCAGGCGAGACATTTTTTGAACAAAATAAAAAACGATTACGAGAAATGCTACTACTGCTAGGAAGGATGGAAATGTTATGACAACTGAAGCGATGCACATCATTACAGAACATGCATTCTGAATTACTTCCTCCAACTGCATGGGCAACCTTACATCAACTGCGAAAATTTTGTTTTCTTTTAAACACAATAGCTCTTATATTCATGCAGATGTTTTTATTTTTATTTCAAATTCATAAGTGAATAATTTATTCTTGAAAAAGAAAACCTACTTCCATCCAAGCCTGAAGAAAAGCTACTTATGAGTCTGCCAACAGGAGTGACATCAAAGAAGGACATTGGTGCTCTCATCAGCTTATCCATCACGCCGTCATGAAGTTTCGTGGCCGCTCTCAGTGTTACCTTGGAGGAAAACACTCCCATGAAATGACAGATAGCAATATTTAATGTCACGAAGTACATTAATTCCATACATTATAACATGAAGGATGAGAAATGGAGGGCTTAAGTTGAATACAAGCGGATTAGTCGTTTGTTTACATGTTTGTTATATAATGAATGAATAATGACCTTTATTTTATTGACTGTGTTTTTGTTCGTGTCATTTAACAAAAAAATACTTCAATACTGATGAATATAGTTCAACAATTTAATGGGAGAAAAAGATAAACAATAAATAATAATGAAAAACAATCAAAACTAAAAAAATGGAAAGATTGAATGAAAACAAAATGAAACAAACTTCTTTATGTCTGCTTACCTTCACAAACAGCCACCCGCGAAAAATGAGGGAAATGACACTGAAAATGGCAATACCTATGTAAATATACATAAATTTTGTGGGCTCTAGATACTCGCATAATTTGCTTCGGTACGAATTAGACTTCGATGAATTTGAAGCATAGACTTGAAAACTATTAGAATATTTTATAAAATCGTTGCTGGAGTCCCCTTCAAAATGACCGGCACCTTCCGTGGTAGGCTCCCTTGTCTCACCTGTGTTGGAACTGCTATCACTGAATGAAGAACTTGTGCTACTCACTATTGCTGACAATGTTGCTGAAAAAAGAATATTAAGAGTTCCAGCTGTAGTTAGTTCAGTAGAAGGCGTGTAATTAACAAAATTTTTTGTCGTTGTTGAATCGTCTTTCAAAATTATTGTCGTATCGATTGTATCGACATCTTCTACCTTTATGGTAAAAAGTATTTGGTTTGGTAAATTATAACTAATTTTCAGGAATGTTAACTGAAAACGACAATAGAAAATACATGACGTTACTTAAATATTTAGTTTTATAACAGTCTAGAAATATTTTAAATAGCCTAGCAATAACAATTGCCACATAAAAATATAAATAAAATCACATTTTCGTGAAAAAGTAAACTGAGGAAGGCATACAAAATATATCCATACAGATAACAGTGATGATAATAACAGCATAAAGCATCGCCATGATAAGTGACTAAGGCAAAAACAGTTACAAGTTTATCCTAATCTTAAAAAAGGTTAAATTGAAATACAACAACATAATTTAATAGAAATAACTGTGTGTTTATTTATTGTGGTTAGTAAATATTACCTGATATTTTTTCAATGTCACTTGATGTGAGAGATACGTACCCGTAAAACTGAAATGGGTTGTGAAAGGCACAGTGCTATTCGCACCTGTTTCGCTTTTATTATGATCCTGTTTGATAAAATATTTAAAAAAAAATTTAATTGCTGAAAAATATTTAACATATGCTTTCAAAATAGTTGTGCATTTGCAATATTATAAATGAATCAAATGACCATCGTTATCGCTTTAGACACGCGTCATAGACCAGCTGAATCTTTAACGGCAATCCGATACTTATTTGCAGACTTGGATAGTAATATTTTTTAACCTACTCTGTCGGTGACCTAGAACTTTTTGATGATGACTCTACAAAACTAACATGAAGCTAATTTTTCTTTGTTTTCATTAAGCTTTCATTTTTTATAACTTCGCATTTTTTTTCTGTCATCACCAGAGTCAAGTGTTTTGAACGATTCAATCTAATATTTCTGACTGTGTACGTCAATCTATACCAACAGCTATGTGTTTTCATCATAATTCTATGTCATCTACAACTTGTTCTCTAAATCTACCTCCTTATAATTTACTTAAAAAATTTTCTTCAATATTTTATCCTATTATTCTCTTAATTTGTCTCTTTCTACCTCTAAATTTCCTACTTTCTAAAAGAATTCTATTGTTATTCCTATTCTTAAAAACACATCTTTAGATTCATCCTCTTTATCTATTTACATCTCTAAAAAAATAAAAAAAAGTATTTTATAATCAATTATCATTTTATTTAAACTCTAGCTCTTAGCTACCTGTATCTCAATCTGGTTTCAAACCCGCTCAGAGTACTAAAACTTCTTCACGCAAAATACATCCTTCTCTTTAGTGACAATAATAATTTACCCTTCTTCTTGCTCTTGACTTTTCTTCAGCTCTTGATACTGTTGATCATACTATTATTCTCTTGAGGCTGCTAGATCATTATCTTAATATTAATGATTCTTGGCCATCTTGATTTTCTTCTTATTTTTGTAATCGTTTTTTCTTCTGTTCTTAATAATTCTACTTCTAATTCCTCTACTCTTACTTTTTGGGTACCTCAGGGTTCTATCCTTGGCCCTCTTCTATTTATATTCTATACTTCCGAACTACATCGTATTATTAATAGTTTTTCTTTTACTAGTCAACTATATGCTGATGATTCTTATATTTATACTTACTTTCCTCCGTCTAATCTCAATAGTGCTCTTCATAATCTATCTCTTTTTCTTTCTTCAATTATCGCCTGGTCTGACTCTATGTGTCTTAAACTTGATCCTTCTAAGTTTGAATTAATTTGTTTTGATAAATCTAAGCGCTCTATTATTATTCCTTCTATTATCTTACCAGATTCTAAAACTCTTGATGTTTCTCACAAGTTTCGTATTCTAGACTTTATCTTTTATGCTAGCATGTCTCTTTCTTCTCAGATTAACAGTGTTGCTAGAAGTTCTTACTTTCATCTACGCAGAATAAAAACAAATTTTGCCTTTTCTTGACAATCCTACTACATTTCTCCTTCTTGTTACTTTTTAAGTTTTATCTAGGATTAATTATTGTAATTCGCTCTACTATGGTCTTCCTGATTCTACACTCTATCCTTAAAGTAAAGCTTTTAACTCTGCTGCTCGTGCCCCTTTCTTTTCTCATATATCTCCATATTTTGTTTTCTTGCACTAGCTTCCTATAAAATATAGAATAATTTTTAAAGTTTGCACGTTTATGTATAAGTCTCACTCTAAATTGTTTCCTAAGTACTTATCAGACATATTAATTGTCTTCTTGTCTCACTTCTTCTTAATTCGTGTTAAACACTCTTTTGCTAAATCTGCGTTTGCTTTTTCTGGCCCTTTTCTCTGGAACTTTCTACCTCCTTCTCTGATTACTTATCCATTACTTACTAAGTTGAGAGCGAATCTCAATATCTATCTGTTTGCAAAATTCATTGTGAAGCACTGTTGAACATCGCGGAAATAGTGCTTTATAAACTAATTGATTGATTGTTTGATTGATTGAATGATTGATTGATTGGAAAAATGATTTTGAAGTTATTTTGAAACATTGAGATAATATAATGTCACTAGCTTAAATAATAGTTCACAACAACAAGGAAAATTTGATAAAAATGTTTGTTGATCATGGTGAGTGCGTGTAGCGAATATGCAGTAAGCAGTTGTAAGCTTTTTAAAATAAACTCTTCAAGTTTGGCTTTCTACAGGTTCGGCTTTCTGCCAAGTAATGGCACAGTTGTTGAACATGCGTAGTTGATAGATCGTGTATTGGTTGGATACATTTTGGTACATCCTTGCTATGAAGCAAAACAAAACAACACGACGGATAGCTTGAGGAAAAAACTATATGGGCAAAGAGTTTTAAAAAGGACTGTGGTTTAATTTACGGTTTTTAAGTTTCTGTGCGCTGATGTAAAATATGAAGTCTTAGGTTCACGTCAGTATTATTAAAGTTACGAACATACAATAAAAATATTTAAGTTATTTTTTATGGGAAACTGCTTAAGGCCTTAAGGGGATGTTTTCAACATATTATTATTATTGTTATTATTATAATTATTAGAAATAGCGAAAAATAGAGACAGAGATGTGTCTACATCATTTTAAATAAGTTGCAGCATCAGGTTAAATTACGGAAAAAACATTTAGAACAGAATATTATTTTAATAAGAGGCGACGTTTTTATAAGTTATTGTGTGTAACAGCAATTGTCTGATCTTATTTTATATGAATTGAAATTAATCTTGAAACAAATTTGCACGGTGTGTGATTTTTTTTATAAAAAATAAAATTTGGCATCAACTTTCATTTTAAATTAGCTGGTTTATAGAACAGTTGGAACAAACTTTACAAATGATAATACTTACAACTGCATCAGTGATACAGCCAGGTGTCAAGTAGAGGGAGAGCCAATAATCATTAATGAAGAATGAAACATTTGGAATTAAAAAACTGATGAATATAAATATTGCCACGCAAACTCCTCCTGCGGCTTTGATGTAGGCGCAATAAGTTGAACTTTTAACTGCCACTTTAAGGTATTCATAATCATTAACTTTTCCCTGCAAAACTGTAGTACGAAATTATAAATTTTAAATGCAAATAATTGGAAATAAGATTTTTTCAAAGAATCAACTTAAAACTCCTTGATATAATATTTAAAAACGTAACATAAATACGTTGTCGTTTAAAATAAATGTAGTATGTACAAGTATGTTGGTACTCGTCTTCGATGTCAAAACTCCAGCTCCTCTTCAGAATATCATTGCTGTCAGGGTCTTCATTTAAGGATGATTGAAAATCTTCTGAATCAGGCAAACTGGCAGCTGATTAGTTGTTTTCATACAAAGTTGGTGAAAATTTTGAAAATATAAATTCAAAATCCTCTATGAATGACTGTTAATTAAAAATAATAATGATAAATTAAAAATAACTTTCTTACAAAATTCAGCCATTCTATAGAAAGTGTTGATTAACTGTGCATATTCGCCATTGGACTCCATCATAACTTCATGATTGCCCATCTCAACAATGCGTCCGTGCTTCATGTAAATTATCTCATCACATCTCGACACTAACTTTTATAAATTATAAATTGCTGTAAGGTTCTTAAGGTATTATCAACAGTTATCCAAATCCAAATAATTATTTCAGGTATAAGATTTTTAAAAACAAGAAATAGAAGAACGTTTGAATGGATTTGGCTTATTACACTGTTATGTTTTTTAGCTAATTCAAATCAAACAACACATAAATGTGGTGTTTTCAATATATCGCTCTTATAAAAATGTATATACAACACAGTTCTGAGTTAAAAAAAATTAAATAATATAAATAAATCAACCAATGACTCAAACCTGAAGTTGATTGGTGTTAAAAATTATCGTTTTTCCTCTTAGTACAGCTTGCTTAAAAATGTTATCGAATAATGTCTGACTGACGAGCAAGTCAACAGCTGATAGTGGATCGTCAAGCAGGAGAACGTCGGGGTTGCTATAAACAGCTCGAGCCAAACCAATTCTCTGACGCTGCCCTCCGCTTAAAATTGCTCCTCGTTCACCTAACTAGAAAAAAAACAATAGAAAATTAAAAGCTATCTAAAAACAGAAAAATAAACGTTAACATTAATGATGTCATTATGTGAAAGTTAGGTTTATAATTGGGGAGAGAGTAAGAAGCATGGCGATAAAGGTGAAATCATTTGTTTGGTGGCAAATAAACAGTGAGATGCAACACAGCAGAATCGGTCAGACAAACTTGGGAAAGATAAACTCTAGTATCTATCAAAAAATTTAATTATTATCCATTGGCTTACAAAGAATGAAAAATGAAACCATTCACCCTGGCAATCACGACACAAAATTAATAAAAAAGCCAAAAACTAAAAAAAAAACAGAGTTTTCAAAATAACAATAACATTGAAAATGAAAAAATGTGCACAAACAACTGTGTCTTGTTTCATGGGCAATGCTAATAAATCCATCTGAAGGCAGCATTGATCGATGACTTCGTTGTATCTGTGGTCGTGTAATGTATGTTAATGTTATTGTTATTTTGACACATTTCATATTAATTATAAGCAATCCAATAATAAATTTTAGGTTATCAAATGGGAAATTTGCTAAAATTTTTGACAAAAATAGTACGGCAGTATGAACCACTAAGACTGTTGTTTGAAATAAAAATAAATAAATAAATATAAACATGGTTCTACAGACTTTTTCTCATTATATATATTTCCAAAGAGAATATTTTCTTTAAAAGTGTCATTAATAATCCAAGGTTCTTGTCCAACATAGCCTATTGTACCATGAATCGCCATACTTCCGGAAAGTAACTTTAGCTGTGAGTATTATTGTGGTTAAAAGAAGCATTGAAAGCTGAAGTTTCTTGGATAGTGGATAGAACAGATGATTTTAAACATTTTCTTGGAATTACAGTATAACGTTCAATGTCTTAACGTTTATTAATGCTTTGTTTAGTAGTATCTTATGCTTTTGAATTTAAAATTAAAAACTTAATTAAAAACTTCATTTCATGCAGACGCTACACTGGAGTTTATTTGATGTTAGTCGGTTGTATCGTTATAGAAGGTTAGCTTCATTGGTCAGATCATAAAAGGTCAGCGGCACAATTTTTTTAATACATTTCTTACAATTACCTCTATAGTAATAGGAAAATTCTTTTCAAATTAATACATCCGATTTACATATGTAAATAAATTATTAAATGTATTTCTTCAGAATATAAACTTGTTGATCCTTTGCAAATGAAACTACCACTTTTCTTCACTCAATAACAACTATGCCGTTTTCTAAATAGGTTCGATTGTTTGAAAATTAGTTTTATTAAAAATAAAAAAAGTTATTTTAACGTTTAGAGGAAATTATTTAAAATCAAATTAATTAAAAAAGGAAATAAATTGGAAACCTGTCCAATAAGTGCATAGAGGAGGGAACTTTTTCCGCTGCCTATCGTTCCAATGACTGCCACAAGCTTTCCCTGTTAGAAATGTTACAATTAAAGTAGAATAATGACAGATCTTTGTATTTTAAAATTGGATAAATTAACAAAATTATCGAAATAATTGAAACACAAATACAAAAAAATAAAAAATACAGAAATTTGTAACTTCTAAGAATTCAGCATTGTTATCGATCAAAAAATTACTTCAAATTATCAAATTGACAAAATGCCCTCAATTAAGACAGTAAATGTTGATTTATACGATTCAATGAAATATATATATATATATATATATATATATATATATATATATATATATATATATATCAATATATGTGTTTATCTATGTATGTACCAACCTTGGATATGTTAATGTTGATATTCCGAAGAACACAGTTATACTTTTCCGACTCGTATGTACGATTTTCCGGAAGAGCAGATAATGAAAACGTCGTTCTGGACCATTCTGAATTCTTAACACTTTTCCTGTGAGCTAAAATGAAATAATTACAAAAGACAATAAGCTTCAAGAAAATCAATATGATTTTTGAAATAAATTCACCGAGTATGTCAAAAATGCTGTCCCGAAAATAATCTGCATCGATTATCAGCCACCCAAATGATGCGTTTTCAATTTCGATAGCATTATTTGGATTTTTCGTCTCCAAAATTTTCATTCTTTCCATTTCTTTCATGGCTAAAAAAGACTGATCATGTAATATATAAAAGTTTCTAAAACATGTTTTAGTTATAGAAATAATATTCACATAAACCTCGGCCCTAGCAAGACTGATTTTGGTGTCAGACCATAGTCGAATAATGTATGGTATGAGAGCCAATTTGGATTTTGTCAAATTGAAGACAGAAATAATGACAAAGGCCTAATTAAAACACAATGGTTATCAAGTTAGTTTAGGTAGAAGATTATGTAACCGAATAATTTAACAATTTTTCGAAATATCTGAAAGAGTTATTTCTCTCCACAGGAATAAAATTAAAAGATTAAGCATTACAAGATGGTTGGTTCTATCATATTGTCTCTAATAATAGCGTTTTTGCAAATTATTAAACTCTACAATCAAACAAAACAGAATATTTTCAGAAATTATCTGGAATCACGAAGTAAAAGTTATTGAATCTTAAAAATTTTAATAATTCAACTGAAAATTACAATTTTTTTACAACGTACTCAGACTTTTAAGCATCCGATAATAGTAATGCATGGGCTACAAAGCGTTAAAACTATACATTAAAAACTTATATATATCATTAAAACACATCTCGAGAAACGTTTATAAACCTTGGCAAATAGTTCCAGAAGGTAACTCTAATGAAATATAATTAGGAAATGTTTTTCTTTAAATAACCTGTGAAACGATGAGTTGGCGGCCACTGGCAATGTAGCCACCAAACATGGAGACCAATGAAATAATTGTGACAAGTGGAATGATAGCAATGCTGCTATTCTGTAATAGAGCAGCTTTCTGCAGATGATGTCTCTCCTTTTTTCTTAATTCTAAGCAATTTCAATCATAAAGTTTTTCATTACCTTAACAAATACCGTATGATTACACAAAAACAAATAATTAATAATTTTTTGATTGATATAAAAACACGATTGAAATAAATTATGTAAATGAAATTTATTAGATGAAAAATATGAACCATTGTTAATAGTGGCCGATTGAAAGGAGAACATAGAAACGCCTACTTGCCCCAAAACAATTAAATATGAAATAAAAGCTGACGATGATTTTGTTTTTTAAGTTTCTGTTTTAAAATTACGGACAACATAACGGTCACTAGTTACTAACTTATTTGGATATCAGTTATTAGATTAAGCAGCAATGGCAATTCTGAATTTTAGATAAAAATCGGAAAAAAAATTGTTTTTTCTGCTAAATCGCAAATTTTATAGTTGAAAAATTTTATAAAAGAACTAAAAAAACATTCCCACAGCTTCTGCCTTAAAAAAGTGACTGAATTAAATATATTATCTATTTGATTTTATTTTAATTCAAACAGTATCTTTGACGGAAAAATAAAAAATATTAAATAATTGAGTGAAATTAGAGAAAATGGAATCTGCTAAATAAGCTTCAGTAAAAAATGAAAAAGGAATGGAACATCACAATAGTTAAGGATACAAACCGTTACCCAAACAAACCAACCGAAAAATGGCATCAAAGTACAGCTACGTTATACAACATGTTTTTTTAAATTACTGTTTGCGACTAAAACTTTAAAAAGAATTATAAAAATATTATTTTTAAATTGACTGAATATTTGAATACAGGTTTCAAGCGTAAACTATCAAACCATCACTTCTTTATTAAATACCTGAATGTTAAAGAAGTGAAAAATGAATAACATTCAAAAAATATTCACGGTATCAATTTATAGATCTTTGTATAAACAATTTTTGTATTAAAGTAGTAAAAAAACAATTAATTCAGTCTCAGTTTTCTTGCTTTGCAGTTGAAACTGCGTATCACTCAGTATAACAAGATAGTCGCATGACACGTTTAGTAACATTTATCACTATAATAGATGACTGCAAACCATTATACACCTTATGAAGATTACGAGCCTGAAAAACTATTCTTTTAAATGTAAATAAATAATACTTTCATATTTGTAACACTTTCCGGAGTTGGATAAAAAATATCTTCTCTCGATCACACAAGAAATTACAACTCCAACTCCCGTAAAAACCTCCAACTGTGAGAAGACAGCCTGCATAAAACTTCATTCTAGCAGTTTTTTTACATCAGAGGTTGTTTCATAGATTTTTGCATGTGATTCTTTCTTAGACATTTTGAATGAGAAAATTTTCGAGACTGAATTTGTATGATTCCTTCTGCTATCATCAACTATATATTATAATCCTCCTTAAAACAAATTAAATATCGTTATAGCCTCCCAACCTTATCCATCTTTTCTAAGTATTCCCCCGTTTCACCAAAAAATCATTGATCCGCCATCGACTTTTCCTTGTTGTATAACGTTACGAAGGTCAAAAAAGATAAGTCAAATGTCGAAAATTACAATACTGATTAAATTGCACTCATATTACGTTCTTCTGAAGTAAATGTGAATAAACTGTTCTTTTATTAAGAAAGTATAAATGTTTGTTTTAAGAAGTTATAAATAAATAAACAAACCTATTATTCTTTTAAAAAAGCTTGTTTCCCAAGCGTAATATTTTATTGTCTTTATTAATGTGAATACTTCTGTACTGAGATGAACCTAAACAATTTTATATAGAAATGAGCTTATAATAAAAAACGAACGCTGAACAGTAAATATGCTGAACCTGCGTTTACTGCGTGGCATGCAGGAGCACTATTTATTTTACTCAAAATAAAATGTCGAAGATTGAAATGTTAAAATTTGTAAAAATGATTGTTTGACCGAAAATGATATTGAAAGCTATGGTCTAGGAAACAGGAATAAAAGGGGGAAAATTGCTAGAATCTGCAAAATCCGCAAAAAATATATTTACGAATCGCCAGATACTAATATTTCTCAATTGAAAAAAAAACAACGCTAAAATATATTACAAAACAATTGTCCTTTATACTAATTGAGAGAAAACGTTAGATGTTTTTTTAATTAAAAAACGTCCAGAGAATTAACTGTCCCAAAACAATTTCATGACGCCGTCATTCTTCTCACGGAAAAATAATGGCGCAAGATCATTTGGCATTGTTGCCGTCACCGCTGTTGCCGAACCGCCACTTCTTGATTTTTATAATATGACCACAATCCTTTGCTACCATATCGGCAAAGTTTGCATTGGCACTTTTGATGTCCGATGACGTCAGTTGCTGATGTAATGAAAGGGCTTATACAAACTCCCTATATAAACTGCAACAAGCACTGGGTTATACAAATTCTCTAGATAAACTGCAACAAGTGCTGAAGATGATTGAAAAATCGAAATAGGTCCTATACACTCGAGTATGAATTAGAAAACTGTATATTATTCTAACGTTAATAAAATAAATAATGACGACAAGAATTTGGTTCGAAATATTGAGAAAAGTAATCAAAAACAATCCAACGCTAGAAATTCTGTAGATTTCATAAATTATATATATATATATTATCAAATAAAATATTGTATTTATATAGCGCCAATTATAATTGCTTCCCACCAGCGCTCTCCTCGTATAAAGCATGTTGAAAGCGAAGCCATCATCGGTGGAGATCACTAGGAGTTACCAAATAGGTATGTCTTTAGACGTTTTCTAAACCCAGCTAATGATAACCCAGATATACGTAATTCAATAGATAGGCTGTTCCAAAAAATAGGCCCAGCAACTGCAAAATTTTTATCTGCTGTTTTCAGATTCCGATCTCTAACATACAGCGTGTTTGAATCAGCAGACCTTAGGCGCCCATATGATGACATAGATGAAACTCTAATACATTTTTCTTCTAAATATTTCGAAGCCAGACCATTCAAACTTTTAAATACCATTACACCCAACTTGAACATGATTCTTTGTTTAAGACGAAGCCAATTCAACTCCTTTAGAATTGGTGATGCATAATCAAATTTTAATTTGCGGTATATCATTCTAGCAGCCTGATTCTGAAGCATCTGAAGTTTAGACAACAGTTTATCAGTTATACCATTTAGAAGACTGTTACAACAATCCAATCTAGAGTTGACGAAAACATGTACTAATAAAGTCATTGTATCTCTATCTACCGATTTTGTGACTTGACGTAACTGAAGTAGTTGGAACATATATTTTTAACCAATAGACTGACTTGTGGACCCATTGTCATACGGGAGTCCATCTCAATTCCCAAATTGATGACCGTTTTACTGAAACTTATATCAGTCAAACTGATGTTAATCGATGAAGGTTCAACCGTTGCCATGTACCAGCCAATATCTCTGCAACGTACAAATTAAAGAGAATCGGTCCAAGAACAGATCCTTGAGGCACCCCTGACGTAAGTTTCATTTGTTCCGAGAGACCATCTGAGTAAGAAATCTGCTGAGTCCGACCAGTAAGAAATGATTCGAACCACGTTTACGCAATCTTATTCAAACTATAACAATATTTCAGTCTGTCCAACAGGATTTTATGATTCACAGTATCGAACGCCGAACTCATGTCCAGGAATGTCAACAAAGTTACTTTTTGTACATTAACTGCTGAATGAAAATGAAAGAATATATTTGATAGAGCTTTCGGTCGAATTAAACTTTCTGATTGATGCGAAGGCCAAATACCATTTCTATTTATATGATTATTCAAAACTAACTCAACGGAACGTTCTATAATTTTGAAAACGTATACATATATATACGTTTGAAAACGTATATATATATATACTTATATATATATATACAATATACATATATATATAATAAACCAATAATAAATAAAAGAAATAAATTTGTGAATCATTACCCTATTTTCAGTAGCTGTCAATGCTTTCATCCTAATTTTATTGTTCATCTTGGCAACTATCAGCTGAGGAAGTAAAATTCTACTGTTAACTAACTGACAAGTTACATGAATGCATAAATGTATGTATCTGTATTAGGACCATGAATGAATTTTGGGAGATTCAAAAGAGACAACGTAGCTTATGTTTTGTTATAAATATATATGTGTTTGTGGCTTAAATGTGTTTGAACATGCGTGTGCTGCAGTGTTTAGTCTTTCTTCGCATGACTGCTGATTAAATTTAAATTATTAGATTAAATTATTGATTTCAGTTTTAAAATATTTTATTTTTAGTTTTAACTTTTTAATAAGTTGAATAATAAGAACATTTTAGGTTGCACAAAAAAGAAAGAGGACAGCAGAGCTAATGGACATAAATGGTAACTAATAAATTTATTTTTTCTTTAAATATCCGAAGTAAAATTTTCTATATTTATTACAATAACAAAGTCTTTGTTTAAAAATAAAGAATAATAAGGATGTATAATTTCAAAAAATGTAGAAACAACGAACAGTTGTATTTTTGTAAAAAGTAACTGTGGGAGTTCTTAGCAAAAGAACAAAAAAGTTTTCGATAGTTTAAATGAAACGAAAAATTCAAAATCACTATGAAGATTTTAAAGAAACTCTTGCCCGTAAAATACTTCTTCAATGTAGAAATAGGGAAATGCAAAGTCATGGAAATAATATGAAAATACTTAGACTAACATTTTTCGTTACTTAATTTTTATACATCATAAAAATGATAACGTGAA